GCTCAGTGTTTCTCAACCTTGGTAGCCTGAAGATGTGTGGACTTCAACTCCCAGAATTCCCCAGCCAGCCAAGGTGGCTGGGGAATTCTGGGAGTTGAAGTCCACGCATCTTAAAGTGGCCAAGTTTGGACCACACTGCTCTAAGGGATGCAAAGCAAGAGTCATGGGCTGGTTGGAGCTGTGGGTTATCAAACAACCCACAATCACACACCAGGCTACAAGACACCATCATTTCCATGAGCCATCCTGCTTTCTGCCAAGACATTTTGGGAATATGTGAGTGTTTAAGCCCTGCTCGTGCTTTCCAATGCATCACCCTGGGCAGTTGCTTCAAGGAGGGTGCTAGGGGTAGGGAAACGTCCTTTGGGTATTCTAGTTGCAAGGGGTAAGAAGTTTTACAGGTAAGATCAACCCATGGAGGTCCCTGCTGGTCGCTAAAGCAATGCAATGGGATTGTAATATCCACTCCCAGAAGGCAGCATGACAGAGCTGTATTTTGGACAAAGTCTACCTAGCCAAACTTGAAAAACCAAACAGAGTTGGACCTGGTGAAAAACCAGCAGGAAATTTAAAAATTTTAGAAGAATTCAGTGCTGAACCACTTCTGTGCTATTTGATTTTTCAATATTCTCCTTCTCCAGGTTTTTCTAGAAGTGAAAACACCTTCCCTAAGTGTTTTCTTCTTCAAGCATTCTTCAAAAGCAATAACAAGCTTTTTTTTTAAGAAGCTTTTTTTAAACAAGCTTTTTTAACAACCAATTTTTCTAAAAATTTGATACAGATGCAATGAACAAAGCAATCTTTAAATTTTAAAAAAACTTCAAAAATTAGAAAAGTGATGACCCCAAACAAAGAAAAAACAAAGTACTGTAAGAAAAAAAAATCTTCCTTACATTTTATACTTACTAATAGTCACTGATTTACTAAAAAAAATTCACTACTATACTGTAATATGAACAGTACAAAATACTATGGTATGACATCACAATATTGCTCCCATAGTAACACGTATTGCTGCGTCCTTTGATTAGCAGAAAATGCTGCCTTTGCCAAAACAGAGATCACACATTTCTGACAACTCTCCGTTGACATCTGGAAAACAATCGCATTTCCAATTTCTCAATATGATTCTTTTAGACACCCCCGTGCTTGGTACAACCACAATTCCTGATAAACAGATTCCAAAGCTTGAGTATATAGTTCTACATCATATTAACATCTTCAACGTTTGAAGATTTTAACAAGAACTGTTCTTGCAAGAAACAGATTCTGGAAAATTGCCAATACCCCCAGCCCGCTCCCCACTTTTCTCTGACATAAGGAAAGCCATTTCGATTACTATAATTGTCGTCATTCCCACCTCCTAAAATCCCCTGCTTCAGTGGGGGGTGGGACTCTGTCCTCCAGATGTTGCTGGACTACAGCTGCTGACAGAGGGACAGCATGATCAGGCCAAGGCCCACCCTAGGGCATCCTTTTGTCCCTTCCAGCAGCCAACAGATGTTCACAGGACGCTTGCAAGCAGAAGATTGTCCTTGTTCCCCTGCAAATGGTTTTAGTTCCCCAGAGGGAACGTTGAGCGATCAAGACCACCGACCAGCTACATGGTCCAACAGACCCCGGTTGCCCTCTGGAATGAAAAGGTAACGGAGGCTTCGGATTGGATCATGCCCACGTGGCCACTTTCCTTCTGTGCATCCCATTATTCTCCTTGGTTTACCAGGGAGTTGAGGGAGATGGGACGGGTGAAGATGCCTAGAGCATCGCTGGAGGGTGACGAGGAATGACTCTGACCAGACACAAGTTAGAGCCGCTATTCAAATCTACCTTGTGGTGATGAGGGTGGTGAAACATCAATATTTCTCTGCCTTTATTGTGTCCGAGGATGGCTGCTCGGCAGCCTCGTTTAGGCTGACTCCAGCCCTTTTGGGTCAATTGGGCTCAGAGGTCTACCTGCAAGGCCATTCAGAGGAATATGCTGGGCATCTGTTGGACAAAATCACTTGGATCAGCTCCCAGTTAGACTCCATCCTTGGAGCATGTCCTATGGAGGTGACTGGGGCACAGTCTTCCTCATTACCTGGGGGGAGTTTGATCCTGTTGGACCTGAGGAAGTGGACACGGTCCTCATGACTGTGAGCTTGGCCACCTGTATGTTAGATCCATGTCCATCCTGGTTAGCTAAGGCCACCTGGGATGGGACATGTGGTTGGGTGCTGGCAGTGGGGAATTCTTCCTTGCCAGAGGGGGTTTTCCCTTCTTCTCTTAAAGAGGCGTTGGTTCACCCCCACCTCAAGAAGCCATTCGCTAGACCCAACAGTTGCGGACAATTTTTATCTAGTCTCCAACCTTCCCTTTTCAGGGAAGATTGTTGAGAAGGTGATTGTGCAGCAGCTTCAGAGGATCCTGGATAAAGAGGATTATCTGGACCCTTTCCGTGTGGATTCAAATCTGGGTACGGGACTGAACAAGCATTGGTTGCACTTTTGGGTGATCTCTGGCGGGAGCGGGGTGGGGGTAGTGCATCCATCCTGGCTCTTCTTGATCTCTCGGTGGCTTTCAGTACCATCAACTATGGTATCCTTCTGGACCAGCTCCAGGGGTTAAGTGTGGGTGACATTGTATTGTACCAATAGAAGTGAATATGTGTAGCTCAGGGTTGAACTGTGGAGCCCGTGGGGTTATCTCAGCTTGGTTGTTTTCTTGCATCACCCAGATAAGCAGAGATTAACCCCAAGATTATCACCAGAAATACAATCAAGCAGTAAACAATACCCTAATCAAGGAACTACCAGGAGAAAAAACAAAACCCCCACCCCCACCAACACTGGCACGGCAAGCCACTATATACAAACAGAGAGCAAACCCCACTCCGTTCTAGCACTGAAGATGTTACCTAGACGAGTAACAAAACGTTTGCAAGAAAACAGCCAAGTTCAGAGAACCCCAAGGACTCCACATTGTATTGTGTTGGTTTGCTTCTTTCCTCTGGGGCCAGTTCCAGTCGGGGTGGATTGCAGGGGAGAAGTCCCACCCTTGGTAGGGTGCCCCAGGGTTCGGTACTTTCTCTACTCCTGTTTAACATCTATATGGAGCCACTGGGCGAAGTTATCCGTGCCAGTTGCCAAGCGCCCGAATTTTGTTCATGTGACCACGGGGACGCTGCGACAGTCATATGTGTGAGGACTGGTCATAAGTCACTTTTTTCAACACCGTTGTAACTTCCAACAGTTGCTAAATGGATGGTCGTAAGTCGAGGACTACTTGTAGTGGGAAAACATTTTTTTTAAAAATTGGAAGCAAAGCAATACGATGAGATGGAGTTTCTCAAGGGTGTGCAGGGGTATCAGCAGGGAAGGGGGTCAAAAAAGTCAAGATGGCATCCACAACCCTGGGACTGAAG